GAGAGTTGCAGTTATTCTCGCTGCTCGCAGCATACTTGTTGTACTGTTTCATGCCGTTGACTCACTCAACAACGAATCAATAAGAATATACAACAATCTTTATTGTTTAAATTTTTATTGTACAACAATCTTTATTGTTTAAATCATTGTGATACTAATTGTATCTTGTTTTCGCTGCCGACATATATGACTTAGTCTTGTATTTCAAACTTGTTTGTATTGAGCACTGAAATTTTACTTCTGTTTGTTAATATCAAAATCTGAAGGCGAAAATTTAGCTGGCATAAAAATATGAGCGTGACAGCTGAAAATGTCATTAAAGTCAGAAAATCTTCAGAAGTTTCTATGTTACATTTAAACGTAAACCTGACGGGAAAAAAAAATGATATACATTGAATAGAGTTGCTTCAGTTCATGTCACACAGTTTCAATACACCTGAATCACAGCGCAGTTCCAAATAATAAGATATTTAAGTAAAGGTCTTTTGCTAGGTTTTCCGGGATTTATGTTGGCAAAATTCTATGAACGTTACTCATATAACTGAAAATTTTCAAATGGAAAATGCAAAACATGCCTACTACAACCTTCAGAAGCAGTATATGATAAAAAATATTCTAAAAACGACAATTTAATGAAAATAAAATATAAGAATATTTTCTTTAAGAGAGATCTGAAACTTATAGGAATACAGAGACAGTTAGGAGGTTGAAAGTTTGTGAAATGTACAATAATTTAAGATACAAGGTGAACGCTGGCAAAGGGTTGGCATTGTTGTTGCTGTTTATGTTGTTCTTCCTGTTGTAGTTGTGGTAGCCGTTCATGCTGCACCTCATGCGGTTGTAGATGATGTTGTTGCTGTTGGTGTGGCTGCTGTTGTTGGTCGTCTTGCCAAACCCAAGCTATGTCCTGGAGAGCCGGCTTTATGTCGTCTTTCAGTATCTTTTGATACTCCATTGAATCTCCATTTGATAATTTTACCTCCACCAAATGAAAAGATGGAGTGACCTCGAATATCTCTGCATCAATGGACAAGATTCCCTTTCTACCTTCCCTCAGACCCTCCAATCTGAACAATCCCGCATCCCTTTTCTTCACTTTCATCCTCAGTTTCTTAGCAATTTCTTCCAGCTTGGAGACGATGACTGTGGCAGGTTTTCTGAAAATGAATCTTGCTTCTCTCCTCCGATAATCTTCTTCAAACAAGCCAGACAGATCAAACCCAACAGAAAGAGAGATTATATCAAAAGCATTCAAGTTTGGAGGTCTGATTGGTTCTTGTTTTCCCTCGGCAGCCACACTGGCACTCTCATGCCAACTAGAAGTCTCTGTATCTAAAGAAGACGCATCCTTGTTTTCTGATTCAAAATTAATATGCTTGGACTTCAATCCTTTTTTGTACCAAGTACTTTCCTTGATTTTATCAATGGAAGCCCTTGTACTGGGGTTTGGATCCAGGATTCTGAACAACAGCCTCTTTACTTCGGGAGGGAACCAACTTGGGCATTTGAAATCTGCTCTGCCAATTTTCCTATACAGCTCCATCAAATTTGAATCATGAAACGGGAGATAACCAGCCAATAAAACGTACAACACCACCCCGCAAGACCAAATATCAGCTTTGGCACCATCATATCCTTTCCTGTTAATGACTTCAGGAGCAACATAAGCAGGGGTGCCACAAGTGGTGTGGAGCAGCCCGTCTTGGTGCTTGCTTTCAGCAAGAGCACTTAATCCAAAATCAGAAGCCTTCAGATTATCATTCTCATCCAGCAACAAGTTCTCCGGCTTTATATCACGGTGATAAACACCTCTACTGTGACAAAAGTCAACTGCGTTGATCAGCTGGTTAAAATATTTCCACGCGACTTCCTCCTTCAGCTTTCCTTTGGCAACCTTGTCAAATAGCTC